TGGTGACAGAGCCCAGGGCTGGTGCCCTGTCCCCGGTGCTCCCAGCCCTGGCAGGAGGAGGCTGTGCTGACGGGAAGCCGGGCCGGGGGAGCGGGCAGGGGGAGTTGGGCGTTGCTATTTTCGCTCGCCACATCCTCTGTCGGTTTCTAAGAACCGCCGGCGGATTCCTGGTAAGAGATTTCGGGGTGTGACAATGTCCCCGAGGTGTGAGCTGCCCCCGAGCTCCCCGGGCTGGGCCGTGCCCGGCGCTGACGCGTCCGGGGGGCTCCGGCATCCCAGTGGGAGTTTCCTCTGGTTACAGCTCGTGTGGGATTTGCATTTGTGACGAGTGGTGGTGCTGCCTGCAGCCCCCTGAGCCTCCCTGTGAGCGGGGCTGGTGTGTCCCCCGCACTGGGGTGGGTCCCTGGGGGATACACGGGGGGGAACACGGGAAACCTGTAGCCACAGGATCGTCCTCCCAGCGTGTTGGGGTGTGGTGGTGTGGGTACACATGGGTGGTTCTTGGGTCAGGGAGGTCCCTGCCTCAGAGACCCCCAGAGTGAGGCAGTGCCCATCAGCCAGTGCATCCAGCTGGATTCCTGTTCCCAGCTCTGCTGCAGGAACACCCCAAGCTCTGGGAGAGCTGGGCTGAAGAGCCTGGGGAGGCAGGGGGGCTCCATGGGCTCCATGTGCTGCAGGCCACTGTGGATCTGGGAAGTTTGGGTTGTAAAAGCCAAACCTGGCCTGTGCAGAGCTGCTCTGCCCTTGCCATGATCCTGAAATCACACCCTGCTTCCAGGCACGAGGCCGGATGCTTTGGGAAGCTCTGATGGGCTCAGTGTTTCTTCCTGGAGAATGTGCTCAAACAGGGAGGTGGGGAGAGGACAACCAGAGCGTGGGGCTTCGCCTGGGGAGGGGCCCAAAGCACAGACAAGCTGAAGATTCCCCTCGGTGGAGAAAAGCTCCTTTGTCCTGCGTGTTTGGATGCTCCGGGGGTCGGAGATGCAGCCCAGCAGCTGCTCGGAGCGATTCCTAAGGCTCCCACCTCTGAGGAGCAGAGAACTGAAGCCTCTTGTCTCTCTCTCCCTCTCCCCAGGACTGCCTGAAGGCCTGCCAGGAGCAGATCGAGGCAG